CTGGGTGGAAAGAAGGAGGCCCCTCCTAAGACGGTACAGGGCAAGAGTGCCCACAGGCTTTCTGTCGGCCCTCAGAGCCTGGATGGGAGGATGCAAAGCACTTCCCCTCGAGCATTGATAGAAGAAATTTCTCTTAGCCTTCTGAGTGTTCTGAGAACTCAAAAGATTTCCTCTTGCCTCCTTTATTGCTTTAGGAGTCTGTAGCACAGAGAAGCCATGCAGCAGGCCTGAGAACTCACAGCAAAGTAAGTCAAAGGCTAGAGGATTTTGTCTGGTAGGTTTGGTGGTTTCGTGTGAGGACTAGTCACCTGATGGCTGATGTGAGAAAGCAGCCCACAAACGGGCATTGGCCTTGTGTCCAGAACCCAGGTGGACACTTGCTGTGAGGCACCAAAGACGAACTCGTAGGGGGTGAGGGGTGATGTGGGGACACTGGGAGCAACCACTGGGCAGAGCTCTGCTACTTGCCTCTCATGTCTGGCACTCCCCCTCCCCCACCCAGCGCTGGAAACTTCAGTCAAGGGACTCCAGGGGAAAATGGGGCGGTCCATGGCTGAACTGAGTGAAAAACCAAAGCAGATACAATCAGCTCTGCTGAACCCCATCTTTTCCCCCAAAACACCTTAAAAACAAGCCCTGCGTCTGCTCAGTGCTTTCCAGCTTACCAAGTGTTTTCATAACACTCTCTCATTTCATCCTCACATCAACCCACACACATTCTTGCCTTTCAGATTTCTTATGTACTCAAATGAGTTTCCTTGAAAAAATTGGCTAGAAACTCCCCTTCTTCTACTCATGTTTTTTTTTTTTTTTTAAACCCCAAGACTTTGACTGATATCTTTAAGAAGCTCCCAGATTCCCAGGGTGGGAAATTTATTTATTCTGCCAGCCCTACCCCATTGGGTGGACTCCAGTAGTTCTGGTCTTTGCTATTGGAACTAACATTTAAAAACAAAACAAAGCAAAACACTTATTTATTTGAAAGAGAGAGAGTGAGCAGGGAGAGGGAGAGAAGCAGGCTCCCTGCTGAGCACGGACACCCCCCCCCACGATGATGATGGTGATGATGGCGATGACGATGGCGACAATGATGATGGCATGGGGCGGATGAGAAGGGGCTCAGTCTTCCAACCCTGAGATCATGACCTGAGCCAAATCAAGAGTTGGATGCTGAACTGACAGAGCCACCCAGGTGCCCCTGGAGCTAACATTTTATATTCAGCTTGTAGTTGATCTGTTAAAACAAATAAAGGCACAAGGGCTAGGATAAGCTTAGGACTGTGGGGAAAACAGAGGCTTTAGAACAAAGACCCAGAGTCAAATTCGGCATTTGAGAACTATGTGGCCCTGGCCCAGTTACTCAATCTCTCAGAACCTCTCTCCATCTGACAAATGGGACAATAGTGCCTATGTCTTAAAGTTATCATGAGGGGTAAACATGCTAGCAGATGCAAGGGCACCTTAGGCAACAGCTACTTTGTGAAGTCCCTTGGAGCTGAACACAGCACCGACGTCACCACTGCTAGACAGGTTAAAAGGAATGCTGTCTTTTTGCAAGGCAGGAGGGAGATAAAGCATGGAAATACACTGCAAAGGAATTTAGATGGAGACTTTTTTACTCAATGAATAATTAGCTACATGGCCTGCATACCTGCACAGGGATGCCACGGGTAACTGAGTACCTTTATTCTTTTTTTAATTCTTATTTTAGGTGTGAGAGAAAAGGAGCTAGGAAACTGGATTTAGGTGATGTTGGAAAGCAAGGCGGTTCTGATTACACTTGGATTTTTGTTGAAGCAGAATTGCAATTCGACTCTTGAGTCCCTGAAGCAAAGGCAGCAGAGGGAGAGGTGCGGAGGGCTGTTTAGTTCCCTGAGAGGTACACAGTAGATGCTCAGGAAATCCCCAGTGGTGGGCTGACAGGGTTCAGAGAGTCTAGATCGCGAGTTTGACTTTCGCTGCTGACTTCTTGGCAGAGGCATAGCACTGTAGTGGAAAGAACATTTGACCAGTGGTCTGAAGGCCCGCGTTCAGGTTCCATCTACACCATTTAATAGCCTGGTGACCTTGGAGGTGCCATTTAATCTCTTAGGTGTCTTCTCACCTGTAAAATGAGGAGACTGGATTCGATGATTTGGAAAGTCTCTTTCAGCTCTAAGGTTCTGGGGCTCTATGTTCACTTCATTCAGTGGTGTTTCTGTTTCTTTATTTGAAAGCAATAGGGATAGAAACCTATCTCATAGGATATTTGGGAAGCCGTGGTCAGTCTGCATGTTTAAATACCCTGTGTCTTTACAGGTATGATCAGAGCCATGTAGCAGAGTAGCTGCGTGATCTCCGGCAAGTGCCCTAATTTATTTCAGACTCTGTTTGCACACTCTGGGCCAGGGACCACATATTGTGCTATGGGACTCTTATTACATTTTTTTGAAAGCCGAGATCATGAAAATGCTTTGAAAAACGGCAAGGCACTACATCAAGTATTATGATTGAGAAATGGCATAGTTGTTTTAGTGACATAAAAGTTTAGCCCCGTGCCTCCCCTATTTTCATATGAATGAATGTGTCGCCATGGTTTCAGAAAACAAAGAGTACATTTGAGGTTCTAACCTAAGGCTTGCTTTCCACTCCAACTTATTGACAAGAAGTAAATTTCAGTTAAAATGGCCATTAATATAAAGTTTCCTCAAGAGCAGGCATCAGGGGGCACCTGGGTGACTCAGTTGTTAAGCATCTGCCTTCGGCTCAGGTCATGACCTCAGGGTCTATGGATGGAGTCCCGCATCGGGCTGCCTGCTCAGCGGACAGCCTGTTTCTCCCTCTCCCAGTCACCCTGCTTGTATTCCCTCTCTTGCTGTCTCTCTCTGTCAAGTAAATATATAAAATCTTAAAAAAAAAAAAAAAAAAAAAAAAGCAGGCATCAGGGAGTTACCCCAAGGTTCTCCAATGCAGGGGATTTTTCAGGAGCCAAGACATCTGCTGGTGGAGACCTTACATCCCACCCTCTTCAAAATGAGGCCATTTAAAGGGTGTGTGTGTTGCAGGGGTAGGGGATAGCTTTCTGAGTCTAGAAAGTTTCGCAAGCAGTAATCATCAATATGTAACTGGGGGGTGGGGCTATTGGTATATGAAAATGGTGAGTCAGTTTTTCATCCCAGGCCTTGCCAGAGATTGCCACTGGGGAGAAATGGCAGAAGACAGGAACCCTGCTCTCCCAGGGCCGACGTTAGTCCCTGGAAAGCCGCAGTGTGTAAACCAGCTCTCCGAGCACGGGCATCTCCTTTGACTCCCTAGATGACTACATGTCCCAACCAGCCTTTTGAGAACTTCTCCCCCCTTGCAAAAGGCACAAACAACCCTGTTAACAGTAATCCCGTACTGGAGCATCTCCCCTTAGCACGGGTCCACAGGAGCCTTGGTGCCCCCATCAGTTCACCATCTCCCCGAGGAACACCATGGAGGTGGCACTTGGAAGCATGAATCAATTTCTCATTTATGTTATGCGGTGGGGTGGGGTGAGCAGAAGCTCCTGAATTTCTCTGGTTGGAAGGAACAACTTGGGGAGGGATCAGGGAGTGAGGGGTTGTCTTGGAGCTGTGTTTTCATAGGAAGTACACTGTTTATTACTCAGGCGGGACATGTATGAATGACCAAAAATAGCAAGGTTGTTTTTATTTAATCCTCGTCGTTATTCTTATTTGGGTTAGCTTGGGAGGGCTCATGAAAATTATGAGGGCCTCCTCATGGTCCTGCCCCTGTTCAAACAACATCTCCATGAATCCTATCACTCCTCACCCCAGTTCTGCTTATGCATTTCCACTTTTAAGCCTATATATGGATTCAAGACATTCACTACCTTTCAAAGAGCTGATTGACTCCAAAGCCCATTTAATTTTGCCAAGTTTTTGAAAGCTCCCCCTTCCTCTCCTGCACACACACACTTCCTCAATCCCCAGTACACACATAGATCAGGGTTATAAAGCCATTTTACAGGAGTTTTTGAAGCAGAGGTGTGAAGCAACGCGCTCCCGCCACAGAGGGGCAGACTCCCAGCCTGGCTCTGGGGGCTGCGAAGCCTGACCACCAGGACAGACCCTGGAGTTGTAATTCCTGGGCAGTATGGGAGGGGTTTGGCCCAAGCTCTTTGTTTCAGATCCCGAGTCAAGGCTGGTTGGGGTGCCCACCCACACCCCCTGCCCCGTGCCGCCGTTGTGTAGGTGTCCAGTGGAAAAACCCTTCGACGATACCACATCCTTTCACACACAAATAAAACCCTCCACGGATCCGCGGGCTGCAGACCAGCCCCTTGCAAGCTAACGCGATCCCCACGGGTACTCGTTCTCCCCGGCTTCGCGCTCCCTCCCTCCTTCCCACCGCCTCTTTTTTAGCGATGCTCCCATTCTCACATAGCTTGCTGGAGATGGAAGGGACGCGCCTTGGGCCTGGTTTGGGGGATGAACTCTGAAGAGGGGTCCCGAGTTATGAGTCGGGGACGGCGAGAGGGTGCAAAGGAGGGCGCCGGCGTCTGGCATTCAGGGTCGAGGGATGGCGCCCTCCTACCGCGCAGCGCGGCCGCCGAGCGGTCACGTCCGGAGCGGGTCCCGTGCCCTCTTCAAGCCTACGATCCTCCGCCCCGGGTGCCCAGGGGGTGTGTGGAAGGAGCAGGCCGCGGGCGCGGGAGGGTTTGTCGCCAGGAAGCGGCGCTGACATTGAACTGGTGCGTGCGTGTGTGTGCGCGCGCTCGCGTGTATCCACGCGCGTGTCTGCGTGTGTGAGTCTTGGGGAGGGAGCCCGGTTGGAAGCAAACCACGGCCTTCGGGGAGCTGAGCCGAGCGCGCCCCCGAGCCGCCGCCTGCAGGAGCTGTGAGCGCTGAAGCCATTCATGATTTTGGTGACGTTATTCCAGGAGTGGGCGAGAGGGGGGCGGGGCCTCTCGGGGCCGAGCCCCGCCCCCGCCCCTATAAATACAGCTTCCCGGGCTCTTTGTGGGGCCGCGAGCTCGGTGGAGAACCGAGAGCTCCGTGTACGCTGCAGACGCCCTGGCAGTGGGGTTGTCTCCGGAAGGCGGACCGGCGAACGCCTAGTGCCCGCACCCCACCGCCTGCCGCGCCTGTCTGCGCCCCTGACATCCTTACTCGGGACGCGGTGACCGTTTTTAAATCACAAGGGCGTGGGTCAGCCTCCCCTAGGACTTCATGTCTGTATATTTCCCCATTCACTGGTGAGTACCCTGCGCCCTCGGCGGGCATCCGTCTCGCGGCCATGGCTGCGGGGCCCGGGCGCCCGCTCCTACGGGCTCGGGTGCGAGGGCAGCAGGCGGCGCGGGCGCCGTCACCCACCCGCAGCCCCAGCCCGTGCAGGAGTCAACGTCAAGGTTGCAAAGGTGGGGGTGGGGGGAGGTGATGCCGAGAGCATCCAGACAAAGGGAGTGAACTCGAAGCCCTCACTTAAGTGACGGCTGGGAGGGTGTGTATGTGCTGGTGGTGAGGTGGGGAGGCGGGGGGAGAACCTGGGATCAAGCCTGAATCCCGCTAATAAAACCCCCAATGCGGAGGGCTGCAGGAGGCACGCGCCCCGGCTGGCGCAGGGGGCTCCAGCTCTCCCCCGGCCCCTCCCCTTTTTCTTTTTGTTTGCATGCAAGTCTCGGCGTCGAGGCCGGCGGCAGCGGGGCTGAGCTGGTGCAGCGGAGGCTTTTGCAGAGCGTCGAGGGGTGGGGAAAAACGCTCTCCCCACACGGAACCCGGTTAAAGCCACAAGCAGCAGCAGAAGCACACGCCGCACCCTCTCTATTTCATTCCTCTTCAAAACCCGATGCGCCTTTGTGGGGGCCCGGGCTGGGGCCGGGGAGCCGCCCTCGCCGGCCGGGGTGGAAGAATCCCGGGCCGGGCCAGGGGCGGGGTAGGTTCGCGCGGACCCGGGATCCGGGCCGGGAGGGATGCGCCGCGGGCGCCGCGCTCGTTGCGGAGCGAGGCCCGGGGCCGCGCCGGCTGCCGCTTCCTTCCTGCGCCCGGGAAGAGGAGGAGCGGCCGGGGGGAGCACTGTTGGCGCCGAAGGGCGCCCTCAGGTGCTGGCGCGGCGGGCGGAACCCGCAGGTTCCAGCTCCGCACTGTCCCGCTTAGCCCAGGAACTGGAAAGTTCATGCGTCTCGCTTCAACTTTTGGGGCCCGCGCCACAGCCCGGAGCGAGGAGCGAGCGCCCCTATACCAGGCGAAGAACCGGGCGAGAGCCTCTGGGCGCACTTCTGGCCCGTTTCTTTGGGGGTCGGCGGCAGCCTTTCCATGACCGGGATCAATCTGCCCTCCCTTCCCACCGCCCTCCCTTCCTGACGCTAACCCTTGCCGGAAGCCCAGCATCTGTCTCTCCTCCCCCACCTTGGCTCTGTTTAGAGAAATGAACTCTCAGAACAAAGTAAAAATTCCCCCACCCGTGAGGCTTGCGTACCCCCTCCTTGGGGGCGCCCCTCCCCTCCCACCTCCCTGGCGTGTGAGCAGCCAGGTGCCCTGTGGGGTAAGACTTGGAAGGCTACTGGAGGCTTTGTGCCGGTGGCCACCCCAGACTTGCCAAGGTGGGTGTTAGGGCCCATCAGAGTTACTATCCCTTGAGAAAGTAAGGGAAAAAAAATAATTGGGAATTATTTTATAGTTGGTTAGCACTTAATAAATTGCCATGGTTTTTCCACCCGAGATTAGCCATTTAGCATAACTGATACATGCATTATTAGCGTTATGGTAAGAAACAGGGCACCTGTGGCTCAGAGAGGTTATATTACTTGTTCAAGATCACACAGCTCTTGAATGGCAGAGCTTGCACCAGACCTAATGCTTCTGTTTCCAAATCCAGTGCTGTTTCTACTCTGTGTAGTAAGCATGAAGAAGAATCCAAGGAAACCCCTGTTTCCTTAGATGCAGTCTGCCTAAAGCCTTGCCCACATTTTTCTTCTTTTTTTGTAACTATGTGTAAAGGCATGATGGTGAAAATACTGGGTGTTGTGTAGGGAGTACACTGACTTTGGTATGTACTATTTGGCATTATGCATTCGGGACCCTGTCTGTGCCCGTGGTTTGTGTGAGGATAATGGAACATTTGTATCCTGCTTACAGAGTACAAAGCACTTTCACATGTCAGCCATTGGTGGGCCAGCTTGGCCCCTCTGGAAATTTCCTTTGCAATCAGAGTCTGGGCATCCTTAAGGCTTTTAATCCAGGGGATGTTTTTCAGGCTGCGAGCTTGCAGCTGCTGTGGCCAGCCTAGAGAAGGGGTTTGGATGGCAGATGTGAAGCTTGCAGAAAGCTGACCCCTTGGGGCTTTAAGTGGGACATTTTGCAAAAACGAACACCAGAGAGAGAGAGAGAGAGGAATTTGGGAAGGCAGCATTATTGGACTTGGTTTCCCTGAGACGGACTTATTATCATTATGTAATAATAATATGCAGTTCCCCTAGAGACGGGTTGAATTGGTTTTAATATAGACCGATGGACTCAGCTACTTACTGTTTCGGTTTTTTCTAGTTCTGTCACTTAAAAGAAAATCCAGAGTCTCTCTGTGCCAGTGGGGACTTGCACAGGAGAGGAGGGAAGAGAGGTTTGCCAGAGAGGTTTCCAAGCAGTTTCAGGGCTTTGTTGGGGGAGGCCGAGAGCCCTGATGCCCTGGCTTACAAGGCACTTCCTCAGGGTGTGAGCTTGTTTTTCTGTGAGTTCTGTTTTGAACACCTCTCATCCTGTCTCTAGACAGTCCCCTGATCTAACAGCAGAAAGCACCAAGGATAGGAATGTGAAAGCGCGCGTGTTTGTTGACTTTTGGTCTGGGTTTCTTGGCAGCCCCGACTATCTGAGATCCGCCGAGATGACTGAAGTGATGATGAACACACCATCCATGGAGGAGATGGGCCTCAGCCCCCGAAAGGACGGCCTTTCCTATCAGGTGAGTTCATCCCGGGGTCCTTCCGGCACTTCAGAGCCTGGTGACTTTTGCTGGGGCTGGAGGCAGATGTGGTTCTGCATCCCAGTGCCACCCGGAACAGCTGTGCGATCTTGGGAAACTCCTTTCATGCCAGTGAGCCTCAGTTTCTTTGTCTGTAAAACGGGGCAACAATAGTCATTACCTCAGAGGATGGTGGTAAAGATTCAACCTGAGGAGATGCTGTGTGGAAGGCATTCACGGTGCCTGGGACACAGTCAGGGTTCGGCAGGCGTGAGCCGATGTCACTCATTAGTCATCCTGGCTGCTGTGGCCTCTCACACTGGCAGTAGCAAGGGTGGCAGATGTGATTTGAGCAGTCAGTCCAGACCAGTGCTTCCCTTCACAGCCGTGCCTTGGGCACTAGAAACATCACCTCGAAGGGTAGCTTATGGGGAGAGGTGATTTGGTGGAGTGGAATGCTGCTTTCTTCCTCAGGTGATGGCTGACCCACTGAGGCCCACAAGAGTTAATGTTCAGAGTACGTAGAATTGAGGAGCCCTTTCCCCAGAGGCAAGCTGTCTCAGGGGTGTGATTTCTGGCGTCTAGATTAGACATCGTCCTACGTGATGGATCCAAAATACAGGAGGACCTCAAAAAGTGCCCTCAGTGTGACCTTCAGACTCTTAAAACAGTGCTCTTCCTCACCTGCGGTGCGCTCGCCTGCTACCCCCAGCTAGCTACACGGCACCTTGCTGTCTCTGGGGACGTGAACTGCTCATATTTCCAAGGAGAGTCCCGAGGTTCTTACACGTGGGAGGGGAAGGAGTCTATTTTTAAGGGAAGACCTTGGAGCTAGGGAAATTGTGTGCAAACGGTGCTTGGCCTGGGGAAGATGAATGGAGTGTCATGGGCCCATTCAGCAGATACTAACTGAATGTCTGCCGTGAGCCAGGAGCTTTATAGATGGTGCTCATTTACTCTCGATCAGAGCTCTGAGGTGGGAGTTCTTGCTTTGTTTAACAGACGAAGAAACAGGCTCAGACTGTTGTAGTCCCAAACTGCAAAGCCTCGCTCTTCCGGTATGTCATGGGTCAGGACCTCGAGCTGGTTCTTGCTTAGAATCTAGACTGGCTCTGGCTAGTCATTCTGTAGAACCATTCCAGGGCATTTATTTTGTAAAGGAAGAAACAAATAGAGAGCTGTGGGTGTGTGATGGGGGAGGGTTGATCAGAGAGCTGAGGTGAGAGCTGAGTTCGTGTGAGGTAACCTGGTAGGTGACAGCAGAGTCACCTCAGATGGGGAGGCTCAGGAAGGCCCCTCTGTTCGGTGTCAGGGTCTGGCCGAGCCCCTTTGGCTGGCTGGAAAGAAGTATTCATGTGGCCTGAGGAGATGAAGGAAGTGGGGGGGAATACCCTTTCCTGGTTGCTTTTCTACCCTCCGCCCCCAGAGTGGGTCTGAGAGAGACCATCGAAGGCCCCAGAGCCTGTGGGAGGGTAGAATTTTCCTGGCCCACCAGTGAGGGTGTTTTCGGATACCAGTTTCCAAGCCACTGAATCAGACCGAATCTCTTTGTGGTTACAGGTGAGGTTTTCTCTCAGTTCTGGGTTTTAGCGTTCTATCACAGAACGCTTCCAAACACAGTCTCAGTATAACTTGTGTGTGCTTTCTGTGTTCTCCTTTTGAACATTTCCCGGGATCAAGGTGCCACATCCTGCCGCGCTGTTGTCTCCACCTTTGGGCCACCCTGCCGGAGTGAGGGCCAGGACAGGTGAAGGGGGCGGAACAGACCGCAGTTGGTGGGGGGAGGCTGACTTGGGGTCGCAGCAGTGACCATCAGATTGCCTCCAGGCTCCCAAGATGTCATGATGCCACCTGAGGAAGGGCCCTAACTCTCTCCTAGTGGAGCTGGCCTAAGAATCTGCATCCCATGGCTCCTCGGGAAATCCGTTCCTGCTGCCCGGGCGAGGGCTACTGTCCACTTCCAAAATACCTTACCTGGAGCTTCAAAGCGCTCTTGTCACCAGATTTCAGAAAGGTCTTCTGGTTGCCTGCTGAAGAGAAAGGGGGAGAGCACCATTTGTCCTGGGTGCTTGCTGTCTGTGCTATGCTGCGGTGGGCGCTTGGTGGAGGGCCCAGGGCTCCCGGGGAGAGCAACATGGGCATAATACCCGGAACACAGGCAGTCTGGGGCAGCGGTGCAAGGCCATGGTCAGTCCAGGTACAGATGGCCGTGAGAAGGCTTGGCCAGTCAGACTGGGGCCGGGCCCTGAGAGAATATCAGGACCGGGAGAGAGCAACTCCATCTCTAATCTAATTTTCTTGTACACCCAGATACCCCTTGGCTTGCCCTGGTTTATGCTGGCGGCCGGGCTCTGCAGCCGGCTGATCCAACAATTGTTATATGACCAATATCCTCTGGGCCCACTCAGAGCTAGTGTCACGCAATTAAACACATTCCCACCAGAGCTCTGGGGACTGGTCGGGACTGCGTGGGCCCAAGCCCATCCCCGGTGCATGCTCGGGCTGGGCTCAGATCTGGAGTGGGACATCTCAGAACTCTGCTCTTGGCATCCTTCCCGAGAGTAATAATAGTACATGGCTTTCACCAGGCCCTGCTTTTCCAAGGAACTGAAAGTGGGAAGGAGACATCAATCCCAACTTGGCAGATAAAAAAGAACCTCAGGCTTGTGATTAGACCTTGAGACAAGGTCGTAAAATGGATAGGCACCCTGGACTTTGTCAGTCATTCCCCCATCTTCCAGATCTACCCAAGAAGGAAGCTTTCCTCATTTCTCTGCCCCAGATGTGACCTCTTTCTTCATTCAACACCTGTGGCATTTGTGTTCTGAAATTATGCCGCCCTGCCCTTTGTGGGTGCGGGTCCTGCCCAAGGCTCTGAGGGCAGGGGAGGCCTTCTTTCCTTCTTTGTGCCCATCAGCCTCCCCAGCCCAAGATGCCTGCTGGTTCCAGGCCTTTCCAGACAGGTGCCAAGTGAATGGTGGTTGTTTTGGTGAGGTTGAGTTTGATGATCTGAAAGCTGGCCATCTTTGCTTCTGCTTTAGGGTTTTGTTTTGTTTTCTTTTTTTAAAGATTTTATTTATTTGTTTGACAGAGAGATCACAAGTAGGCAGAGAGGCAGGCAGAGAGAGAGAGGGAGATACAGGTTCCCCGCTGAGCAGGGAGCCCGATGTGGGACTTGATCCCAGGACCCCAAGATCATGACCTGAGCTGAAGGCAGAGGCTTAACCCACTGAGCCACCCAGGCGCCCCTCTGCTTTAGGGTTTTTAAAGGGTCTCTTCAGCTCAGGCCTACCATGGCTTTGGATAAATATCTTTATGCCCTGGAAAATTCGAGTCAGCCCTACCTTTCGTGCTTGGGAGTTAGTGTCGTTTTGTGAGCATCTATAAAAGTCAACAGAGCCAGTGCCTGGTTTCATCTTAGCATTTATTTGGAGAGTCAACTCAGTATGGGAACTCCATGTCTGCACGTCCACTAGGCATGAATTATGGCACCTTGCTGGGGGTGTGAGTAAACAGTTACATGAAAGTCTGAGTACATTCTGGGTGGGCTGTGGGGAGTCGCCGGGTCACTTGGACTGAGTGGGAGGGTCCCCATGAGGACATTTAGATCCCCGATGGTGGCAGCTCCCTCCCCTCACTGCGTCCGTGGGCCTCCCATGGTACCCCCCACTTGTGGCACCAAAGCATCTCCTGCTGACACCTTCTTCCTTGGCCCCAACTCAAGGAAGCAGGTCAGCGGCTGCCTTGTGGGGCCCTCCATTGGCTCCGGAGGCTCTAAGAGGGTAGCATTTTGGAGTGCCTCTCTGATGGGGTCTCCTTTCCTGCTGCAGCTGACCTGGCCTGGGTCCTGCGTGGGGAAGGATCCTGAGCATTTGTCTGTAGATGCCAGCATGGCCCAGACCCAAGGGCTCTCGGCAATCTGGCCTTGCTCCCTGACTTGCCCCCGGCACAGCACACTGAGCCTTCTGCAGTCTTACCATTCTCACTAAGTTCTAAAGAGAGGTATGTCTCCTAGGTTTGCATTTAAAATTGTCCCTTCTCTAGCATCTGGACCGAGATCTGATAGCTCTGTCCTTCTCTAGGCTCTTTAAATTCCTCTCTGATCAGCTGGCACGTCTCTGACTGGCTGTTCCTTGTATCCCCTCTGCTGTTCTTGGTCACGTACTCCTGCCCCCTGACATCCCTCCGGCAGTCCGACAGGCAGCGGGCTCTCCTCGGGGAAGGCAGGGAGGAGGCACCGGAGAAGCAGCTCGCTCTTCGCACACCGCAGCCTTCCACGTCCTGTGCCTTTGATCTGCAGAGCTCAGGAATTCCCTGCTTCCTCCCCTTCTTCCTAAGACCGGAGGGAGGGATAGCCTGGCTTTTGCACCAGAGGGAGGAGGGAGAGTGGGGGGGCTGACTTCTTGCCACAGTTCTGTCCTTTGCTTCTTGCAGTCTGAGAGCTTGAGTCGGAGCTGGGCGTTCAGGACAGGGGTAGAGCACTAGGCCGGCTGAGAGCTGTCCCCCACCCCGATGGGATCTCTCAGTCTCCTCTCTCTGCAAGGCCCGACAGCAGTGGGCTCCCCCGTCCCCCTCTTGCTGCCTCCCTTTATCAGAAGCGCAAGTCCTGTCTCAGCGAATAGGCTTGGGTAAATCTCTAAAGTTAGGCCTCGGTTTAGAAACCCCCTCTGTGTGGAGCCTTTCTTTAGGAAGACCCCCGAGTCTGGCTCCCCCGGGTGCTCCCACCTGTGCAAATGCACATGTTAAAATACGTGACGGGTTGAGCTTCCTGCCGGGGTTCAGCGCTCAGAGAGGTCTGAGCTCCTTGTTGTCCCTGCCTCCCTCCCCGACAAGCCCTGCTCAGGAGGCCATTCCCGGGGGGAACCCATCCACCACCTGGTAAGGCCCAGTGGTGGTACCCAACATGTTCTCAAGAGTTTGGGAGGCCCTGCTGGGTGGCCTCACGGAAGTCTCACGGTCACTAGGAAATCATCTTCCACAACATCAGACTTGAAAAACCT